TTTTACTGTTAGAAAAGATTATGTCGGGCTGAGAGGCGGGCCTGGATCAGGACCAGGGCCCCGGGGGGGGAGCAGGTGAGAAGCCCAGGAAACCCGAAACTTCCTTCGGGGAATTGGAGTGTGTGTGTGTGAATGGGGGGACACGTGTGTGTCCCTGGCGTGTTGGGCTGGGGTGGTCTCTCCTGGCGGTGGGACCGACAGCCCTTTGGGACCCCGGAGGGGGCGGAGGCGGCAGAGGGATCCACGGTGGTCCTCCTGTCCAGCTGTATGGCATGGACTACAATTCCCATCGACCCGCCGTCGTGGACAGCGCAGGCTAGGATGGTGGGAGCTGGAGTCCTGGCCCACGAGGGTGGCCACAGACAGATTTCCTCCCCTCCTCCCCCAAGGAGAACAAGCATCCCTTAGAAAAGAGGGCAAAGGAGGATACTGGTGTGCACAAAGTAGCACTATCCTAATTTAAATGTCATTGGAATTGTATGCTTTATTGAGGAGGGCCGTGTTTTGCACTCAAATAGGGGAGCCGGTGACCGATTTCCCCTGTTTCGCCCCCATGACCCCTTTGCAGTCCAGGAAAACAAAATCTTAAGTGTGCTTCCTTAAGTGCCACCCCCGTAGCGCTTAAAGCAGTCTCTGGGCGGTTTGCAATTTTAATTTTGCAGCTGAGCCATTGCACACACAGAAGGATGGAAGGCAGAGTCAACCCTGAGCCGGATCCTCGGACCTGGGATCGAACTCAAGTCCTGAGCCGAGCCTTCCATGCAGTCCTGCGGTTGAAGCACGCACGGTGCCCAGAAGGGTTCAGGGGCTGCTCCAGGTTGGAGGATGCGCAGCTTCCAAAACCAGACCTGGAACCCCCTCTTTGTGGCTCTTCCTCTTTCCATCAGATTTGCACTGAGCTGCCCTTCGAAGGGAGGACACGGGTCACAAAGAGTGACCGCCATTGCAACACACAGGGCCACCCTGCATTCAAGAAATGAATGGCGTGCACCAGGAAGGCTAAGTTAGGCATAGAGCAGGCATTATAGGTGGAAACAAAAGAAAAAGGGAAAAAAAAGTCTAATACACGCTGGTGTCTTAAAGGCTCCCTTTTATATTTGTCAATATGAGCTTTTGTTGATAAGTCCATGTCATCAGACAGCAGGCAAAGGGCTAGAAAAACCGACCTCCAAATCCTTTCCGTTCAGCTTGCTGTGTGAGGTTGAGCCAAGCATTTGGTCCCTCTCAGCCTTGCTCTCAGACAGGGTTGTTGGGACAGAGAAGAGGGAATGCAGCACCACGCTCACTGCTTTGAGCTCCTTGGAGGGACTAAGCTCTGCTACTGTCTTGATATTCTGCTTGCTGTCCTTCTGTATTATCAAATCATTTCCAGTATATAGCAGTTCTAGTAGGGTTATCCTTGGGCCCATCACGAGAAAGCTGGATTCTTTGGAAAAGTCCATAACGTTGGGGAAGATGAAAGGCAGCAGGAAAAGAGGAAGACCCAATACGAGATGGACTGGTTCCCTAAAGGAAGCCACAGGCTTGAGTGTGCAGCAGAGGACTATAGGAAGCCACAGGCTTGAGTCTGCAGCAGAGGGGCAGGGCTGCTGAGGACAGGACCTACTAGAGATGGCTCATTCATAGAGTTACCATAAGTTGGAGGCAACATGACGGCACATAACAACGACAAACAACAAATTAGGGTTTTCAAGGCTTTGAGATGCTGAAGAAGTGGTTTGCCATGGGCAGTGTATTTCCTTGGCTGACCGGGGATTTGAATCCAGATCTCCTGAGTCTTAGGATGACACTCTGTCCACTACAGCAGCCTTGGGGAAAACACCAGGGTTTTCAAAATTTAAAGAGAAGAGAAAGAAAAGTCTGGGAGAAGAAAAAAAAATAGTCTTAAGTAGGGAGTGACAACCCCAAATAGCGAAATGTCCAATTTAAAGTCCTCTCTAAGGGGCAGGCCTAAGGGAAAAGCTGTTCCTCAGATCTTGAAGGCGTGCCACTGGTCAATTAAATCTGACAGATTGACTTCTGATTACCACCAAAGTAATAACCACATCGATTACGTTGATTCTGACTAGAAGCAACCGTCTCCAAGGTTTCCTAGGTATGCAGTAGCTTGAAAATGTTGACCTTTCCTTTCAAGGCTCCGTGAGGAATCAAGCACCTGAGGTCTGGCCCTGCCGCCACATGCTCCTGCTTAACAAGCTGTCCGACCAGGTATTGCTATTACTGTCTCTACACAAAGATTTCCATAGCCCTCTTCCTAATCAAATTGCAAAGCAGTTTACAATAAGAACAGATTTAATTAAATTAATAGCTAAAAAGCAAACTAAAATACCAAAACTGCAATAGAACAAACACTCCATTAAAACAATTAATTGAAGTTATGTGTTTGCATATATATTTGCCCCTCAAATCTTCTAGAATTAATGTATGCTGATCTGATCTTCTTAATGTTCAGGGTCTGTCTTCTACAGACAGAAGGGCTGCAGTGGCAGAAGCTCCATCCATCTGGTTTCAGGGACCCCTCGCCTACGTGCATGTTAGCTTTCTCTCCTCCCTTTACATCACAGCCGACCCCATGCACTAGGGGTCTTGTGACATGGTCAGGGTGCTCAGAGAGACTGCTAAGGGCAAGTTCCATTCAGCTAGCCTGGTTATAAACCTCGTGCAGTGGAGAGATGTTCCATAAGTTTGAGGACTCCGATCAAGAGGAATTCAATTTCAGCTCTTATGACAAAGGTGGCTTTTAAAAAACTATTTCCATAAAATCAACATCTAGAATTCAGTTGATTCAGGTGCATGTTTTTCCTCCAGCGGAAAGAGTATGTAACATCATCTAGTCATTATCAACATGTGGATTATGGTCACTAGGTTAAGTGCGTACAAATGTTTGTGTTAAAGCTTTTCCTGAACAATGTTTTATTGAATGTATTCCTAGTAATGTCGACATAAACCATTAATGAAATAGTACTGCATTTGTTGGAGAACTTCGCTTAACATTTTTGCAGGGTTAAACCTGGATTAGCACAATCTAGGAAATCAGTCTAATACCCTTAGTTAATATGATACGAGCATTACAGTGCATTAATCTTTCTTAAACATTATCAGATTATGTCAGGGAACTAACAGCTGGCTTAGCAGCCTGTTGACATCTTGCTTCACCACAGAGCTCGTTGGGAATAAGGGCAGACTTTTAATGAAGATTGTGGGACATGGTGAAGAGGTGGGGACCCTGTTATTTCACCCCATATCCACCTATAGCATAGCTTACTGATGGGCAGAGGTGGCTTATAACCACAGAATTATTAAGCCATTGCTTGCAGAAGTCAAGATTCCCTACTGTAGACTCCACACCAAATAATATACTTGTATCCGTCTTATTCTAGGCACCCTGATGTTGTCCTGGGACACCAATATTTTCTGAAGCAAGGGTGATGTTATCACATTCATATGCATTAGTTAGCCCAAGCCTGTCTTGCTGTGGTTCATAACATGTCACAGTTGTAAACTGAAGAAGTGTGTACTTCAGCATGCCTTTAGGGAAAAAAAAAACAATCCAGTAAAAACAGTTGGCTTTTTTTGTCCACTTGGTTTCATGGGTCAAATTCAAACATCATGCCAAACCATGGTACGTTAGATACTGTTGTTGGGAGACAAACCAGAATATGAGCTTCCAAATGTACAAGAAAACGATGCTACACAGTTCCCTGTCTGCTTTTGATTTGTCAACATGCCTTTAGATGAGAAACAGTGATAGTCACACAACTATAGTTTGTTGATTCAGACATCACACTAAGCTCATAACGTTATACAGGAGGCAGCAACAAAAGCCATCCCAAATAATAGGAAAGGCAAGAAAGCAAAGTGGCTGTCCAACGAGGCCTTACAAATAGCAGAGAAGAGAAGGGAAACAAAATGCAAGGGAGACAGAGAAAGTTACAGAAAATGGAATGCAGACTTCCAAAGAATAGCAAGGAGAAACAAGAGGGCCTTCTTAAATGAACAGTGCAAAGAAATAGAGGAAAATAATAGAAAGGGAAAAACCAGAGATCTGTTCAAGAAAATTGGAGATGTTAAAGAAACATTTTGTGCAAAGATGGACATGATAAAGGACAAAACAACAACAAAAAAAGTCAAGTTTTTACCTACTCATAAATATGAGAGAAACTTGTACATACCAGTTTTGTTGTTTAGTCGTTAAGTCGTGTCTGACTTCTTTGTCACCCTATGGACCAAAGCATGCCAGGCCCTCCTGTCTTCCATTGCCTCCCAGAGTTGGGTCAAATTCATGTTGGTTGCTTCGATGACCCTGTCCATCCATCTCTTCCTCTGTCGTCCCCTTCTCCTCCTGCCTTCACACTTTCCCAACATCAGAGTCTTTTCCAAGGGGTCTTCTCTTCTCATGAGATGGCCAAAGTATTGGAGCCTCAGCTTCAGGATCTGTCCTTCCAGGGAGCACTCAGGGTTGATTTCATTCAGAACAGATAGGTTTGTTCCCCTTGCAGTCCAGAGGACTCTCAAGAGCGTCCTCCAGCACCACAATTCAAAAGCATCAATTCTTCGGTGGCCAGCTTTTATTATGCTCCAGCTCTCGCTTTCGTACATCGCTACTGGAAAAACCATAGCTTTGGCTATGCGGACTTTTGTTGGCAAAGTGATGTCTCTGCTTTTTAAGATGCTGTTGAGGTTTGTCATCGCTTTCCTCCCAAGAAGCAGGCCTCTTTTAATTTTGTGCCAGCTGTCAGCATCAGCAGTGATCATGGAGCCCAAGATGGTAAAATCTGTCACTGCCTGTCACCAGTTAGAGGTTTGTTTTTGGACTACAACTCAATGGAGCCCAAGATGGTAAAATCTGTCACTACCTGTCACCAGTGTGTTTTTGGACTACAACTCCCAGAATTTCCCCAGGAAACTATGGGGAAAAGCTACTTGGGAATTCTGGGAATAATGCAGGAAGAAAGTCTTTCATTTGCTGTACTTCTGGGAGTTGTTGGTTAAACCTCAGAGTACAAGGACAATTGTAATAAATCCCTAGGTTTTTAACATCTGGTGGACAAGCAAAATCAGCAGACCTGGGAGCAGGGAAGGATAGGGAATACTTCTGCTTTGGGCATTTGCAGTCATGCCTCGAAAAGGATGATTGGCCCTCTTGATCTGGATTAACCCTGGCTTCTCTTACAGAGCAAGAATGGCATTTGCACCACCTAAAAACCTGGAGGGCCCCAAAATGCAAACAAAGATGAGCGCATGGACACCCCTAAACCATCAGCTTATGAATGATAAGGCGAGTATCCCATAGCTGTGTAAAGCCTTGGTCGAATCTTCATCTGTAATTCAAGCCGTCCGGGGGCCTATAATGTGTTGCACATGGCAGAGCATATACATAGGTTGGTTTACTCAAGAGTGGTTTTGGTTGGTGACTGGTTGCATGGGCTTCATTTGGAAGTTGATTGCTCAGGTGTGGCAGCTTTGAAGTATTTTATCTCGGGAGGAAAAGCGTTTTAGCTCTTGATAGCTCTTGATAGCAGCAATTCGAGAGTCTCATCTAGTTTAGGCCACAGGGATGGGAAGGATCTCCAGTGTTCTTTTTAAAAGGAAAATGATCTGGAATGTATCTACGGGCATATGCACACCTGCCAAAAGAACGCCAGTTATACTGGTCCTTTCCATACCTCTGTCTTGTACCGACACATTTATTTTCACGGCCCCCATAATATATACACTGGTGGAAATGTTCCTGTTGGCTTTAATGATCTAGATTCATTTCTTCGTATTTGAAACGTTATTGCTGACGCACCACCTGGCGGGCTGAGGCATCAAGTGGTTAGCAAGACAAAGGGCCCATGGAAGTTAATATGTGCCAAGATCATTCCTTTAAAGCCATAGACCTCAGTTTATCAATATATCAATATGCTGACTCTGCAGAAAAAAAGAATTAATCACAGGGGAGCCAAGCGGCACTCGGGTATGGAAAAAAGATTGATAATGTTCACATGCTGTACCAGTAAGGCATGAATAGACAGATCATCGGTACAATTTCAAACCACCCTCTTGGCAAGGGGGAAATAACCTGCTGGCCAGGAAGTGAGGTTGATCTTGGCCATGTGTCAAGTGCTCAGAAATTTATGAAACAATCTAAAAAAAAAAAAGCAGCCAAATCAGAATAACTGGGGTTTTTTTGCCAGATGCGATCAAGCCCTGTGTTAGTTTATGTTATCCCAGCCTATGAGGCTTGCTTTTAAGGGGATCTTATAGCCTCTGGCTCTGATAGATTAATGGAGGAGAAAAACACACTCTTCCCCCCCCCTTCCTGGGATGTGTTGAAGGATTTCTCGAAAGTTTGATAGTGGTATTTAATAGAATTGCCAAGCTCCATGGGATTATGACAATTGCTGTCCGCCATGGCATCTTGCCTGCATGGAATTTGCCTGGAAAAAAAGGTAGAAGAAACACCAGCCTTGACCAGAAATGAAACTGAGAGGCACAGAATTTGACAGTTTCCTGCCTAGAACGAAGAGCAAGGGACAGAATATATTTAAAAAATAAAAGGGAGAGTGAGGGTCAGGGTCTCTCTTTTTTTTCAGGAACCTGGGAAATGTCATGGATGCAGGGGAGGAATCAGGAAGTCTCAGTAAGGAAGGAGTCTTCTTGGCATGGTGAGATTCAGAGAAAACAACAGAAAAGAAGATGCTTTAGGAAATCTTCCTCGGATTCCTAGCTTGAGCATTGCCCTTTACTCTGTGGCTGCCTCCTGTCTTGTTTTGCGGTCCTCTGCACAGAACCGTTTCTTCCCGTCCTGCATAATGTCTGAGCTCACAGCTGCCCAAATGAGGCTGACCGGTAGTGGCTTCACTCCTGACTGAAGCAAGCATTTCATAATTGCTATGAAACAGAACTTGCTGCCATGGGATGCCGTGCTGGCCAAGGCATAATTAGTGATAATTATGGGCCATCAGCTTGGTCCTAAGGCCTCCCTGGGTTTTCCAAGGACTCGGGTATCTTCCCCAATCTTCTTTTTTTTTTATTGGCGCTCTGGGATTGCCCAGCTTCTCCCAAGACCATCCAGTTGGCCAGAGCATGGGACCTCATCAGATGCACACGGTCCGGGTGGTGGCCCCTCTGCTGGGACGGACACACACTGGGGAAGTCAGACTCCCCATCAGGTGCTTCAGTCCACTGGGTTATACCAGCTAAAGGAGACGAGACAGAAATCTCAGAAGAGAAATCTCTCTGTGGCTGTCATGACTCCATGCGATCTTTAGCAAGGCTTGGAGAGGTTCCCTGGTTGGATGGGAGCCTCCCAGGACTTCCCCGCCATCATGGGCCACGGTGGCTTTTCCTTTTTCTTTAAATCAAAAGAAGTAGATGGATGAGAATCACTGAACCTCCAAATAGTCAGAATCACGAGTGCAGCTTTTCAGTGACTTGCCTGCAGCGGTGAAGAGAACGATCATGACCATTTTTGCTTTAAAAAAAAAAATAGAGAGAGAGACAGAGAAGAGAACAGCAGAGAAGGAGAAACAAGCCATCTTTTCTATAAGACCCCATAAATCAAAGTAAATCTGGACTATGTTTGGGATGCCGAAAGAACAACAAGGTCAGGGTGAAATAGAGGTTGGGACTCTGGTCATCCAAAAAAGGAACTGAGATAATTTTCTGAATTAGAATTATGGCTTTGGTGACACGGATCCTTTAATAGCAGACTGAGTCACTGACTTGACTCATTTTTAACAGCTTGTTGAAGTCACTGATTTGTAGTTCAATTTTTTGTATTACTTACCCAATGTTTTCTTTAAAGGTATTTGAAGAAAGAAGAAGCCTGTTGAGGAAATGGGTAATCCTTTCTTTCTTTCTTACTGGTTCTGCCAATTCCATGGGCCACCGTGGAGAGACCAGGCTGCGACGGGATATGTCAGTTTATTAAAGAACACTGACCGTTACTCTTGACACAGAAGGTCAGACTTTCGGAAAGGTACATTTAGAAGCAGTTTGCTGATTGGGAGGTACAATGATTCTATAAATGTCAAACGTGTGTCCAGATTACAAAAGCATATGAATCCTCCGTTGATGGGTACAGTACTTGGCAGTGATCCTGCCATTCCCGTTAGACCTGCAGGTGCTTCCGGTTGGCCGTGGTTGTGAACAGGAATTGGAGTGCATGGATCTGGGGACCAGCAAGGGGCGGGGGCTGTTGTGTCTGTCGATAGCCATTCCATGTGGTAGCCAAAGAGAATCTCTTAGGAGAGATGTAATGTGTCTGTGAACACCAGATGCTGGAGGGATTGCCAAAGAAGGCCATTGCTTCATGCCATGCTATTAAGCTTTCCAGAAGGATCTGGCTTTCCCCTGTTGGAAACAGCATGCTGGTCTAAACAGACCCTTGTCCCGGTCCAGTCAACCACGTAGAAGGGTCTCTTTCCGCTGATCGTGCGCAGCAGGGGCCAGCCATGGGGTTTGACGTTCACAAGATCTTACCAGCTGCTGGTGGGGGAAATCACTTCTTTAGGTCTACGCTTAAAGGGTGCCTGAAAACCTGCGTCTCCCCCGTTTTCCTCCCAGTTTGACAAATGGACGGACAGCCAGAGGAGAAGAATCCTGACGGACTTTGTCCAGCGCTGCTCCCTCTTGCAGCTGAAGTTCTGCCTCAAGCAGCTGCAGGACCGCGTACCGGCGGAAGCTCTGGATTTCACCACCAAGCTCCCCAGGGTCTTGTCCTTGTACATCTTTTCCTTCCTCGACCCTTGGAGTCTTTCCCAATGTGCTCAGGTAAAACTCAGTCTGTCTAAACCCATGAAGTAAAAAAAAGGGAATAACTGGACATGTTTATTCCGGACCTCCTTATGACTGGACCACAGCAGGAAGCCTTTGGGCTAATTTCTGAAGAAATGAAGTTCAGGGCTCTATAAAATCAACCTCTTCCTTTCCCAGAAAGCCCTTAGAGATTAATGAGTGGGTGGAGAGGAGAGAATGAGAGAAAACAGAGTGTGGGAAGCAGGCCGAAAATGGAGGGGTTCACCTACGTTTAGCGCCAGTCCCATCGCCCATGGGTGTTTCTGTCACTGATCATTGGCTTCAAACCCCTTTACTACGGGCAATGCGGCCCTCTTAACACAAATGGAGGGGTTCACCTACGTTTAGCGCCAGTCCCATCGCCCATGGGTGTTTCTGTCACTGATCATTGGCTTCAAACCCCTTTACTACGGGCAATGCAGCCCTAACAGATCATCCATTGGGCAAGGTGTGCCTAACAGGCTGAGTGTGACACACACACATACACACCCTGCTGAGAGCTAAATATGTCCCCCATCTTCTACAAGCCCTGCAGCACTTTTAATTTTTTTTTTAAAGGTGTTGAGGGAGATTCCACACACATACACATAGTATACTCTGTGGAGCACAGAAGGCCATTTTGACATGTTTTGTACCTCCTTAGCACGCTGGGGTTCCTCATGTATTCCATGCCAAAAGTGTAAAGGTTTTTGGCCACTAGAGAGCATGAGGAAACTTCTTCCATTTAAAAAAAAAGTATTTTTAAAGGAGAAATATGGAGGGGAGATGAGCAGGGGATTGGAGTAGATGTGGTCCTATTATGCATGTTTGTCCTTTGTCCTTCCTTAGACGGCCCATCACCATGTCCCTTAGAATGCAGCCCTGGATAGGAAAACAGGTTGCCCACCCTGGCCCAGAAGAAGCGAAACAGGAGGAGACGGTGACAGGATTTGGCTCATAATTATGTAAAATGAGTTGATCTAAGTCAGGGCACATATTTGTGCAACAGAAACAAAATTAAGGATTAGAAAAAAGCCACTAGAGAGCATGAGGAAACTTCTTCCGTTTTAAAAAAAGTATTTTTAAAGGAGAAATATGAGCAGGGGACTGGAGTAGATGTGGTCCTCTTTGTCCTTTGTCCTTTCTTAGACGGCCCATCACCATGTCCCCTAGAATGCAGCCCCAGATAGGAAAACAGGTCAGAAGAAGCGAAACAGAGGAGGAGACGGTGGCAGGATTTGGCTCATAATTAAAATGAGTTGATCTGAGTCAAGGCACATGTTTGTGTAAAAGAAACAAAACAAAGGATTAAAAAAAAGTTAGAAGAAGTGTCCTCTGCCCAGCCGTGAAAGCCTTTGCGAATAGATTAGAAAAAAGTTAGAAGTGTCCTCTGTTTTGCTTAGTTCTTAGACACCAGTGCCCAACTGGAATGAGAAGAGTTGACCAGTGGAATGAGTTGCTTAAGAAAAATTCTGGGGAGTCGCCTGTGTTCCTTGTGGGCTTCCAAGTGAAGGCTGGCCAGACCCAAATAGGGGAAGGCAAGAGCGGTTTATAGGGTCCCTTGGCACTGGGACATTCATCCCACCTCTTCACATGGAGTGGTCGGCTGCGTGGGGAGGCGGGTAAGGGCTCTTTCTGCGATGGGTGCAATGTTGGCTTTTGCTCTATCTGAGATTTTGCAGAAGCCAAGGCAGGCGCAGAGGGTCGGGGGTGCAGATGCGGTGGCTTTGCTGAATCCCCAGTGTCTCAAAGAGAAGAGCACACCTTCTTGAAAGACCCGTTCTGTGGTCTCAATTGAGTTGTGATCTTTGAGAGCCTTTGGTTGTCAGAGTAAAGAGAGGGACAGCGGTTTGATTCCAGGTAACAAAGCTTCTGATGGGTCCGGAAGAGACCACAGCAGCTCCAATTTGGGTGGAAGCACTGTCCGATGGTAGAATACCATACCTGCTTTTCATGCACAAGGTCCCAAGATCTGCCCCTCACTTTCCCAGGTGAAAAGGAATCTTCAGGTACCCGGCTATAAATGCTGCTGTGATGAGGCAGTACACACAGGCTCTTTGTACGTATTTGTTTCCCTGGGGACACAAATATGAAGTGCAGCACCATAGGTGCCACGGAGATCTGTTCCTTCCCCCTCGAACCGGCCACTCCACTCACTGGTTGACATGCAGCATGCATGTCTCTTATCGTCAACATCACCACAATTGTGGAAGTCACCTGGCCGGTGCTTCCCTGCCTCCCCGCTCATCTGACCGCTCAGCAGCCGAGCAGAGAGACTCTTCACCCTACCTCTTCACATGGAGTGGGCGGCTGCATGGGGAGGCGGGGAAGAGCTGGCTGGGCAATGTTGATGAAGAGGGCGGATGTGTGCTCTGTGTGTACTTTGAATGGTATTTTACCCATGCCAACCAGGGCAACCCTAACGCCAAGGATATCCGTGTACAAAATTTTGCTCCGTTACTTGCATATTAGACCACAGCTGCCTCGAGTGCCGTCCTTTGGGAGAAAGGTGAGGCATAAACCCAATAAATACGCTAATGAGCCTGTCTTTAATCTGGGGCAGACAATATAAAACATGCGCTTCATTAAAATCCATTGTCATTGCCCAAGGGTTAAAACTGTGTGATTATCTGAAGAGTGTGAGCCACGGATGCGTCTTGGATAATTTCTTTGGCATTCTCAGGTGAGCTGGCACTGGAAACACCTGACAGAGCTCGATCAGATCTGGATGCCGAAATGTCTGCGGTTTGGGTGGCACATCAGCTTCTCTCCAACTCCATTTGAGCAAGGAATCTGGAAGAGAAACTATATCAAGAAAGTGGAAGAGCTCCAGGTCATCAGGCATAAGGTAACCCTGTATTTTGAGAGGAGAGAGACCTTTCGGGAGATAGGTTTGGACCTTATCCTGTAGTAGCCTTATGCAGGCTATTCCGTGCAAGAATTGTGCAGGAAATCCATGCGGGAATTAGGAGGTGTCACTTGTATCCTGAAGGGAGCAAGATGATTCTCTGCAGAGCTGTTCCAGCCAGCGTAGCAGAACATGAAAATCGAGAAGTGGAATTAGTTGGCCAAACTTTTTACACCAAGTACATGTGTGTAAACTTGTGGAATTCATTGTCTCAAGATACGGCAAAGGCTATTGGTTTCTGTTGTTCAAAGGAATTTCCTCTTTCAAAGGGAAGAGACCAGGTGTGGGCAGTCTTGTGGTTCTTGCGAATTAAAATGTTGGCCCTCAACATGGGCTGCACCAGGCCCAGAAGGTATTTTAAAAATGTAAACAGGAAGTAACTCTTGGGGCAGTCCAGGCCATTATCAGAAAAATGTTGACGGTCAAGAAGCTTTTCTAATGCTTGCCTGAAATCTCCTTTGTCACGATTTGAATCCATGACTCTGGGTCCTACCCTGTGGAGTTCGAGAGAACAAGCTTGATCCATCTTCCATGTGACAGCCTTTCAAATATTTGAAAACTGTTTTCATTCTTCTCCAGGCTAAACCCCGCCGGTTCCATCAGCTGTGCTCCATAGGGCTTGGTTTCTGGACCATTTACCACCTTAGTCAAGGCTGCTGGTAATAAAGCAACAAAGCATGCTCATAATTGGTGGCCACTAGTCTCGAAGGGATGTGGTGGCGCTGTGGTCTAAACCGCAGAAGCCTCTGGGCTGCAAGGTCAGAAGACCAGCCGTCATAAGATTGAATCCACATAGTGGAGTGAGCTCCCGTTGCTTGTCCCAGCTCCTGCCAACCTAGCCGTTCGAAAGCATGCAAATGCAAGTAGATTAATAGGCACCACCACGGTGGGAAGGTCACAGTGTTCCATGTCTAGTCACGCTGGCCACGTGACCACGGAAACTGTCTACGGACAAAACGCTGGCTCTATGGCTTAGAAACGGTGATGAGCTCCGCCCCCTGGACTCAATGTCAAGGACTGGACTCAATGTCAAGGGGAAACTTTACCTTTTAGTCTTGTTGACAAGGTGATTCTGGAAGTTACAGGCCAAAGAAATAGGTTTCTGAAGTTGCGGGCAATAGACCCAGTAACCAGGAAATGTCTGCTGTGTCATGCCATTTATTTTGCTTCTTCGCCTTTTCCTCCTTTCAGATTCCTCCCAAAGAAAAATTTGAGGTGGCTGAAGTTGAGCCCATAGCAAGAGAGGCCCCAGAAGGGAGACAGTCCATGCTGTCAGTTCTTCACTCAGCATCCCTCTTAGAAAAGAAGAGGAACAAGGAGAGGAAGGAGGCCCCTCCCTGGCATTCTTCCGATAAGCATCCGACAGACACCGTCCGATTCAACTACTTGGACAATCTGGACCCCATCGAGCAGGCTAGGCAAGCGTGAGTTGCAACCTGGTTCCCATAATGTAGTTTTCATTAGAATTAAGTAACGCCAACCAGAACTAAGTAACGGCACAGTTGCATTCTCCTTCCTCCTCAAGAGCAGCCCTGCCAAACCATTCATTCAGAGCTCTGAGTTAATCACCTACAGTGTGTGAGTCTGTCCTGTCCTGATTGGCAGCGGCATGCTGGAGTTGAATTCTGGTTTCATGGGGACAGACGATTGAGGGGAGCCTTCTCGTTTTTGGATCTTCTCAAGGAGATTTCGGTGAAGCCAGGATTTTGCAGTAGATCGTGTAAGGCAGCAGATGGCTTGCTGCTTCTGGCATGCACAGAGAGGCATACTGCAGTAGTTCATGCTGCCCGCAATCGGCCTGGGAACTTCTGGAAGCCATAGTCTCAAAGCACCAATCTGCACATCACAAGCTTTGGTCCTCTGGATCTTTTGGACTTGAACTCCAAAGACCCCCAAGCTTTTCGCCTAGTTCAGCTAATCTGAAGAGGAAGGTATTTGGCTGCCCGCGAAGTCTTCTATCCACAGGTTTCACATTCATAGCAGCCAGAATAGACAGCCAGACCCTTAGACCTTGGTCTTATATCCCTGTATTTATTGTTGTTTTAGATATCATGTTCTTTTTGTTTGTCCGGTTTGACTTTTTGCAGTATATGACAGTTCTTGAGGTTTTCTATTCCATTTTGTCTTACGCATGCCTTGATGCCGTAACAATGAAGCATGTAGCTATGTATGCACAGGTTTCGCAGCTTGGGAGCAGTGATAGAGAAGGTCGTCTCCCACGTCCACACCAAATAAGCTCACATTAGCTCTTGGGGGGGGGGAGTGCCTTCATCATCATCACCTTTTTTTAGCCCCTTGCCCTGCCTGGATTGCGCAAAAAAGTCACTGGAACACATCTGAGTTTCATGCCTGTCTGCCCCACCTTGAACCCAAGGCTTCTCTGACACCTCCTTGGCAGAGACACACACAAACACACCCCTTGTACAGCTGCCTGTTGCTCTTTCATGGAATCCGTGCCAAACGAGACAGCTGGGTGACATACATTGTTTGGGGGGCTCAGAATAGCCGTTGTAGCTGGTCTTTTTCCTCCCCTCTTTCTACTCCTTCTGCCACACCCACATTTCATTCTGCCTGCAGACTCTACCCAGAGAACAGCCTCTGATTCTGCTTCAGCAGAACGCAAACTCTTCCACTGAAAATCACACATGCGTGCACACATAGCCACAGAAATCTATGAGCTGAATCGATCTGTCTCTCTATATAACAAAACCTTACTCCCCTGCCTGATATACCCCAAAGGGGATCTAAACATAATCTAATATTTCCCTGTTGCTTTATAACGTATTGATCTGTGAGCCTACTAATCCTAAATCTTATTCCTAATTATCCCAAGTAAACAGTATTTAATGAGATGTGGAGAATGTAAATGTAAATTGAGGGTTCAGAAAGGACACAGAGAAAACTGCTGCAATGCAGGCTTGCACCAGGACATGTGTCCTAATAGCAGATGCTCGGGAGATTTCCGAGCAGCTATCCCCACCTTTCAAGTGGAAAGAACCAATGTGAAAAATTTACCTTCTGGTGTTTTTTTACTTGCTTCTAGATTTTATTGGTACAGACAGCCATCATTTACAGCTTTTCTTTTTTCCTCATCCCCCCTAGCTTGGGAAACCTATGGCAACCCCAGTCAGGAGACACTGAGCTCTCTGCTTCCACTGCCTTTGGTGCCAGATTGTCTTTAAGGTTCATTTCTCAAGAAATCGCTCCAGGATGCTTAAGAAGTAGGTTTTGCCTCCACTTCTCCTCTAGCAAGCCTAGCCTTTTGCCTTCTAATCTAGAGAGGTAAATGGGCCTCTGAATATTATGAATTATTATTACAGAGGTTCGGAACGATCAAATTCAGATGTGGATCTATTTGGAATTGTCCGAATATGGCATTACTTGGTGAATTTCAAGTGGGTCTGAAGTTGACATGCAGTTATGCTATGTGGTTCCCTGATAGCACTGTTTGGCACGGGGAAAAAGAGCTCGTCCGCTTATATTCTGCTTTAAACAATCCATCTTTTGATGGTTGTTGTGGGTTTTCTGGGTGGTTTGGCTGTGTTCTTAAGGTTGTTCTTCCTAACGTTTCGTCATTCTGTCTGGCCGGCATCTTCAGAGGACAAGAGTCAGAAGTCTGTCTGTGCTCTGGTGCAGTTTGTTTGGATAGTTGAGTATTTATAGCTGTGGGAACAGCTTTTGTCCTTTTCAGGAGATTGGGTCATTATGGTGATCAGTGTATTTTTTGTTGTGGGTGTATTGTTGTTTTATCTTTCATTGTGGTTGATGGATCATTAGCTGGTCTTTTGTGTGCAGTGGTCACCGGTCCTTGTGGCTGGGTAGAGTTCCTTGACCTTTTGCATGCTGTATTTTTCAGTGCTGGGAGCCAGGCTTTGTTGAGTTTTAGACTTTCTTCTTTTTTGTTGAAGCTCTGTTGGTGTTTATGGAGTTCAGTGGCTTCCCTGTGCAGTCTATGATTGCTGGTGTTGTCCAGTACTTCTGTGTTTTGAAATAGCTTGTTTTAGGGCATGTTCAGCTGCCGCCGATTTTTCCGGTTGTTTTAGTCTGCCATGTCTCTCGTGTTCTTTGATTCTAGTGTGGTTGCTGCATTTTGTGGTTCCAATATATACCTGGCCACAACTGCAAGCTGGGGCTCGACCACTGCACTCCTGTCCATTCCTCTAACTGTGCATTAAGAAACTGATTTTTTTCAACTAACTTATGGGAGTGCTGAAGCGCTTGCTTCCTGGGATGAGTGCGGGTCTCCCCAAAAAGAAGCCCTGCTCAACTCAGGCAGCATCAGTCCTAGGCCTGTCTACCTGAGATTTATTCTAGCCCCCCCCCCAAAAAAAAACCCTGTTTGCGCCATGAAAAGGATGCTCTGTTCCTCTCCGTCCTGGCAAACCATTTCCACCTAAGTTTTCTTTTCCCTGCTCCTGCAGGAGGAAGAAAGGCCTCACCCGGGACCTCAGCCAGGCAGCCTTTCAGAAGAAAAGGAGACCGGGCAGTGGAACATACAGACTCCGGAAAGCAAAATCCTTGGCAAGTATTGCCACCCTTCAGCCTGAGGGGAGCTGAGCAGCAAACTCGGGGTGGTGCCCAAATCTGGAAAAGGAATGGAGGGGGTCTTCTCTAGGGACCAGCCCTCACCCGACCCCGTCAGGTCCCTATGTCTGTGCTCCACTCCTTTGGATGGCTCTTTGATGTTAGCAGGGTGACGGGGACTCCCGCTTTAAAACCACCAACTTGAACAAAGCGGGCGTTTCGTCTTTGAATCCCAGCCTTGAGCCACGCAGGCGTTCCTTGGACAAAGGTTTTTCAGTCGGTGGGGCACAGGCTCTGTATATTGGGGGCTCGGTCTGAGCCACAGGCTCTGTAAAGTTACCTTGATGGACTACAACCCCTCCCCTCCGAATCCCCCAGGCGTTGCCCCCCAAACGGCCACCAAATTCAGGGAGCAGGAATCCGAAGAAGCAGCCTTCCCAAGCTGTCCATGGATGGGCATGGCCAGAGAGTGCGAGGCTCCCTGTCGGACCCAGAAGTCCTCCTTAGAGGGACGTGGGATGTGTCATCGCTGGGCAAGGGAGATGCGGGGGGATGGGAGAGGGGAGCCGACAAGTTCCTGATCCCAGGATCCCGC